ATTACATTAGCTCGGATGTTTAATCTTTATTGCTCAAAATTTTATTTTAATGATTTCTTATATTGAATACCATTCTTTTTCACCACGGTTAACTCAAGACATCAAAGATGACGCTTGTATGTTTCTTTCTTCTGATCTTGTTTTGTTCTGTTCGAATTTATTTTTTCTGCTCACTCGTATTTTATGTGCATAGAACATCTTTTCTTTCGAAACAAGAAATACGAAAAGAAGAAATTTTCATTTTTATCGATGTTCAATACATTGAATATCAGGAGGAAAAGAGTCAGTGCATGAAAGTTCCTTTGCTTAATTGCAGTGTTTCTCATCCATCAAGGAGAAAAATTCAGCGAAAGAGGGCACGTATATAATCACTTACTGATTCTGAGGTATATCACCATCTGGTTAATATCGAGTTTTTTGCGTGAAGACGGATGAGAAACACAAAAATTACAGAAGCTTCGTGCACTGACTCTTTTTACCCCGACAGTCAATATATTGAAAATTGATAATAATGAAAATTTCTTCTTTTCGTATTTCTTGTTTCGAAAGAAAAGATGTTCTATGCACATAAAATACGAGTGAGCAGAAAAAGTAAATTCGAATAGAACAAAACAAGATCAGAAGAAAGAAACATACAAGCGTCATCTTTGATGTCTTGAGTTAACCGTGGTGAAAAAGAATAACGTTCAACATAAGAAATCATTAAAATAAAATTTTGAGTAATAAGCTGATGCAACAGCGGAATATGCACGTCACTGTCTATTCATTAGAAAATATCCCAAGTCCAGTATTAACGCAATCTGTAGTACTTATGTGAAACATTAAACTAAAATAACTTTCGAAACTGGGATACTGTTATGAACATTGGTCACTACCGTTATATAAAATACAGATTTTACTTTATGTTGAGTAGTTTAATTTCTACCTTGTAAATGTTCCGTTTTGTCTACAGGCCCTAGCGATTCAGACAGATTAATTTTACGCTATTTTCCATTATTGGACATAAATTTGAAAAGATCTATAAGATTTTTTCCTTTCATAAGGTTATGTTATGTCTTAAGATACAAACGAGTATAGAAACTAGTATAGTTTCGTTTGTACATAATTTGTATAGATGGTTTCAGTCAGAAAAAAATACATAATTGTTCAAAAAAAAATATTTCAATTATTGATGTTACTAGAGCGTTATCTCTCTTTTCCCATACATAAACATCTTTTAGAAAACTTCGAAAAGCATACAAAGTATAATGAAGTCGAATGGAAGATTTGCTACTGTGACCCGAAGAGGAACCGGAAAGTCATGGTAGTCAAACAATGAATTGATCATCAACATTTAATTTGTTCCAATATATAATATATATGCAGAAGGATGCTGTGTTTTGTTCAGTCAGACACTCAAATTGCAAAACAAATAGCTTAACAGTTAGACTCTAAACCCCTTTTGAAAAACAGTCTATCTTAATACCCAAGTTAAATAGTCTGCGTTTCACTACAAATCGGAAAAGGTTGCTTTTAGTTCAGCTTAAATATTAGAGAAAAGCAATCAAGTTGATAGATAGTGTATTAAATTCATAGTGAGTGATTTTGTGAATTGAAGAGTATGAATATTCACACTAAAATGTACCTGTCTATACATAATCAGTGTTCTATACATGAATATTCTGTTTTTCGTTCTGTCTCTTCATTCTGATAACATGAAAATGAGAGAAATCAGAGAAAAAAAGAATATATTCAGAACGGAGAAAAATAGGAGAATAGAATAAAAAGCTCTAGTTTCCACGCAAAAACAGTTTTTCGCGTCTTTCTCGAAAACTAAGAGTTGTCCAAGAAAACGGGTAGCATATTCGAAATCCTCGTGAAAGTGCGAATCAGAATATGTATTTTGTTTCTCTTATTTTCAGCCTGATGGAAAATCGAACGTTTTGCTATGAGAAAGAAAAGAATAACTAAAGAAAATAACTACCTTGGAGGTCATCGAGGTCATGTAACTGTCACAGTTAAATTATTCAACGCATTATCAATTTCCAACGTAGAATACAATTGTTTATATTTGCCTTTATCCACATAAAGAAAAACATTACCGTTTCTTGTAAAAATACGTTTTTTATCTAAATGTTTTCGTGCATGAACGAATATTTGGTTATTACAATAGGTCAAATGTTCATTGATAAACCCGTTCTTGAACTCATCATGGTCACGGCAACGTTTCCGAGACGAATAAAAAGCGTTACGATCAGTAAATCTCAGAAAACTAACAATAATTAATTGTTTCGTCTTGTCCACTGAATTTTTTGTAGGTTGTAAACGATGAATTGCGTTAAAATCATTTTCCCTTAGTGTTAAACCGAATGTATTACCTAATTTTAAGACAATATCAGTGACATTTTCATCTTTCGTATATGAAATTCCATAAATAAGAAGATCACGTCGCTTTCCATATTGCTCCAATTGATTCAAATCATTTTGTACCAGCCTTAATTCATCTTTCGTATCTTTTCACTCGTTAGTCAATTGTTTAATTAGTTCATCATGTCGTTGACATGCTCTATTTACTATTGTTTCAATCGATTGCATGAATACATCAGATGTTAATAAGGATGTGACAGTATTTTTGATTAACTGAATTAAATTAATGTTGTCCATTGCTGTGTCCATTGTCGTTTTCAACGATTTCGACTTTTTTCATAAAGACGAATTTATAGGCGACGGCGGAGTATGACGAATAATATGTTGCATGGTCTAACTATGTGACAGTATAAAATGGAACATAACCTCCAAGGTAGTTATTTTCTTTAGTTATTCTTTTCTTTCTCTTTTTCTCATCACGTTTTTTATTATTCTGTTGTTATGTCGAACGTCAAGATGACCTGGTTAGGCGGTAGCGATGTGGTGTGTGTTTTCCACCGTGAGTACTAATAACAACGTGCCTACTAGCATAACTTTGTCGTCAATGAATATTCGGAGTTTAACTTCGCAGAAAGAGGCAGTTAACGCTTATCTATCTTTGAGTTCGCCGGTAGTTTTGTGTCTCACTGAGACGTGGTTGGATAGTAATATCGTAGACAGTGATATAAAATTTCTTCATTATCATTCTCCAATACGCTTAGATCGTAATCGACAAGGTGGTGGTTGCGCAATTTATGTGAGAAATGACTTTTACGTAGTTAGACTGAATGAATTTGAAAGTCCTCGGTTCGAAATGCTCATTGTACGTTTAACTCTTTCAAACAAATTGAGTGTTTTGATCGTGAATGTTTATCGACCAAAACTAACCCCTATAAAACAATTAAAGGAGGAACTACGTAGAATTTTGGATGAAATTAATACATCAAAGTTTAAAAGTGACAGAATTTTATTAGTAGGAGATTTTAATGCGCACAACAAATTGTGGTCTAATAATCACATTTCCTCCATCAAGGACGGTATTGAGTTCGCTGAATTCCTTGATTCTGTAACAATGTATCAGCTAGTTCGTGGGGTAACTAGAGATATATCAAATACATGTTTAGATTTAATAATTTTAGATGATGCTTCTTTTGTCTGTGATCTAACTATCCATCCGTCATTGTACTGCAGTGATCATAACTTTCTAGAATTTAGAATTAACTCGCGCATAGCTTGTAAAGGTAAAATAAAACGTGCGATTTACGAATATAATGTTGTTAACTGGGACAGCATAAATAATCGTTTCAAGGAAATTCCGTTAGAGCAGTTTCTGAAAAATTATAACAATGTTAATGAGAGGTTGCAAGCCTTTGAAGAAATCTTAATTGATTGTATTAAGACCTCTGTACCTTATAAAGAGTTAACTGTTGAACCACGAGACGAAATTTGGTTCGATGATAAATTACGTATTTTATATAAGAAGAAATGTAAGCTATACCGTAAAAGTAAGAGTTCGCTTTACCACTTGCAGTTGTATAAAGAAGTTGCTAATGAATTTAAAGTAGTTTGTCTCTCTACGAAAGAAAACTACTATAAGAGAATAAACAAGAAAGTTCTTACTTCTTCTAAAAGTTGGTGGAGTTTAGTGAAACATACGTTAGGTAGAGGTCGAACAACTGCTATTCCAGCCCTA